GTCAAGCCATTGCAGGGAAACACTCACACACACCATTCACTGTGGAGTATTCGGAGGAAACCCCACAATGACATGGGGAGAACCTGCAGACTCCACACACAGGGAACTCTGGCAGAGACTCGAACCCAGGACCCACAGGTGTAAGATTACAGTGCTAACCACTGCACCAAACCAACCATTTAATGGATTAAAAGTTAGATATTTGTTATCTTTTGGATTATGAGAGAACGTCAGTCACGGCACTGTGACCATGTAGCGTGTTTCCCTGATGATCCGGCTCGTAGGATCCTCATTGCTGAGGACCTGAGCGGCTGGACCAGGTCGAGGGGACGCCCACGTACTGCACCACCTGGCTGTGTTTTCCGGAGGGTGGACCTGGACCTCGTATTGGCCTGGGGGGCGTCCAACCGGGATCCCAAGGGGTTTCATTGTGTGGTGGGTGCGACAATGTGCTGTACCAGCGCGCCCCCCAACCTGACCTCACCTATTCATTATTTTAAATATTGACAACATGAGAGAACCAATAACAACAGACATAACATTTATGCTGAACTTATTATTGAAAATTATTGTAAAAAAATGCACCTGCTGAAACACACATTAGTGTATGTAATGATATAAAATATTATAAATAGGACTAAATGGAATGCAATCATTTAATGTCATTCCCATCTTAAACCAATGTCCCAGAGACATATGTTAATTTTGAATTAAGTAACTAGCAACTGTACCTAATTACTAATTTTCAGTAACTTACACAACACTACACTTCCTGAGAGTCGTCTGAATGAATATGTACAGACCTCTGGTGTGCAGACTGCAGACTGATGGTGGGCGTGCTGTTCCACGGTTCCTGGGCCACTCCCACCTCAGCGTGTAACAAAACCAGTGTTATTCCATAAACCAAGGCACAGCTGTTACTATAGACTGATACCAATGCCGCTTAACGGCCTCATAGTGGAACATTTTCATCTGTGCTCAGCTTCTAGATGAGCCTTTTAAACCGGAGATGAACTGCTGTGGTGATTTCAGTATTTTATTCCTGGGTCCCTTCATCCCACGACAAAAAACAAACTAAAACACATGGTAGGGCCATAATTTAAAAATCCTTGTAGTGTTTTGTTGCATAGTGAGCAAATGTATTATATATAATATAGCATATTTATATATATGCCATACAACCTATACACAATTTAGGTCTAACAAGAGCTTGCTCATTGTGATGTGCCTCTACAACAGCTGTAGTCCAGACCAGCCAAAGTGTCTGCAGCTCTTTCTGGCTAATTTTAGATCAGAGGTGGAAACCTCAATACCTCAAGAGTCATAATCATCGTTTTCCCAGCCGAGGTTTGCAGTGGCAGCTCATGGAGCAGAGCAGACCAGGGATCTCATTTATCAAACTTTGCGTACATTTCATTGCGAAAAAGTGCGTAGGCATAAAAAAGAAAAAAAAATGCGTACGCACAAAACAATTTGGATCGATCATTTCTGCTTGGAAATGTCTTGTAAACGTGCATATGTGCATAAGCCTGAGATCCTGTCCATTTGCTGTCCACAAATAACCATAAATATAATATGCAAATTATATAATATGCAAATCAAGCCTTTCTGGTTGCAAACTTCAATGAGAATGGCAGTAAATAACTAACCAAGAAGAGGAATTTTGAACAATGGGAGATAGAGGCACAATAAAAAGTTACATCTGAGGGCCTAATCACATGTATCATAAGATCTACATATAGATCTACATTTTTATCATTTATTTATAGTGTTTCTATAGCACTTTCACAAAATTTAGCACTTTAGGATTAGATGCCAAACTGCATTTCCTTGTCTGAGTACTTGTACTTGATACAATGATAATAAAGATGAATCTATTAAAGTGTGCTGATCGGCAGCACATTGCACTGAATTCCGTCAGCTCTACAAAAAGCTCTATACGCGAAATAAATATATATAAAACATATAAAAATATCGTAGCGCCGGCGCGGTGTGCATGTCCCAAAGCCCTTGCTTTGTTGTTTTATTGTTATAATTAATACTTGTATTTCCCGATTGTGGCTTCTATGTTTGCCCGTGTCGTATGCGCACCGTGTCCGATTCACGCGTGTCTTTAGATGTGTATTAACCTCCCACCGTGTGCGTCTCTTACACTTCAGCGTCTGACTGACGTGTTTGCGGGGTTGTGGTGCTGGTTGCATCGGCATTACAGTGTTATGGAGGAGCGCACGTGTGAAGAGCGTGTTTTTCCCAGCAAGCGGGTCTGCGTGTCCTTCGCTGCTCTTGTGGGGACTCGGTCTGTCCGGCGTTATAACGTATAAAGACGTGGTCGTATTCCAAGATAAAGAGAAAGGAAGGACTGTCTGCGCCCCCGGGCAGTGTGATTGCAGCTGTCGGGGGCAAAACCCCCATCTTCGCCCTCGAACTTCATCGTGCATGTGGCAGCGCAGGCAGGAGATTCTGATGTGAAACTCAACGTGACTGAATCGTAACGCGCGTTACAGATTACGTTACGCATTAATATAATGGAACGGCTTTCGGTTGACAAAAGTAGCTTAACTGAAACTCATTTCAGTGTCTATTTATTCCAGAAATATACACATTTTTTCCTGCCAAGCTTTGCTTGATATACCCAGGATTTTGCCTAAGAACTTGCATACGCACATTTTCAGCTTTTTTTTCCATCCTGGGGGAGCGTCTTTTCGAGCTCGTCTCGATCCTAAAGTGCAGCGGCTCTGTTGGATGTCCGGCTAGATCTCAACCTCAAGAGTAATATTTGGTTCGATTAGCATAACAATTAATGCGATCTTTGATTCTGATTTAGACCATAAACATGCAAAAAAGGGCCAGGTTCCAGATAAGCTGAGTCAGAGACGGATCGAAATGTCTGCATCGTATTGATATTTTTAATGAACCATCAATGCTAGCATCTTCAAATAGAATAGTCTCTTTCAGGGTACTGCAGACGGGTGCTAACAGCATTGTGCCCCCTCCCCCCCCATCCATGCCCATTAGCTTCAAACTCATCAATACGCTACACCTGAGCATTGTTGCATTAATGTTTTAACCACACGTTCCAAGCAGAGACTGAAAGTGTATGTCCTTGCTAGATTCCCACAAAACCCAAAATTAGACAGTCATTGCTACAATACCAGACAAACGTCTGGATACACTTACTGAAAACCATTTTTCAACAGCTATAAACACAGTTTGAGGTTATGTAGCAAGTATTATCTTGTGAACAAGGAATGAGTTGGAGGCTGTGACTGATGGAAGAGTAAAAGTAAGGTGGCCAACTTACGGCCAGAACTTGTGGAAACTCCTTCGGGACTGTTGGAGAAGCGTTCCAGGTGGCTACATCTGCAAGCTGGTTGAAAGAATGCAAATAGTCTGTAATGCTGTCATCGTAGCAGAAGGGGGAATATCCAAAGAGTCTAAAATCTGATAACATTTTGAAATGTTTACCACCTCTCTGGGTGGTTGCATTATTTGGTTTTATTCCTTGCCTCAAGATCGCTTGCTAATAGGTGAATAACATGGTTAAAATAAAGAAAAGTGCATCAAAAGCAGCTGTGTCCAGAGTTTCGACTGGCAGGATGCATGCGTGCTAACGGGAAGCTCTGCAAGCTGTGTAGATATCCTGCGGACGAAAGCAGAATGTACTCGTACTCATAGACATGCAGAGCCACAGAGCCCCGGATGCCGTCAAAATAAAACAACACAACAAAACAACAGCAGGCAGAGCCACAATTAAATTCAACTTTCACCTGGACCTCTCGATCTGCCGAAGGGCCACAAGGCATAATTTTATGGTGCGCATTACAAGTTATAGTTGATTAAAACATAGTTTTATCTGGTTTTCTTTTAATTGCCCTGCAGCATTAGGCCTCACTTAGCGGTCACATTTACCAACAGCGAGGAAGGGCATGTTGCCAACTGATCAGACTATACCTTTGATCAGAGAGAAAGGGCGAGCAGGCAGTTTAGACCGAAAGGCAATGCAGCATGGAGCCGTCGAGAAAAGCACATGCATTATTTATTGAGTAATTATGTACTCATGTTTGCACTAAGTAACAGAATCGCTTCTTAAGGGTCCAGGGCAGGCCCTTACTCTGATTTTGGCCAATGAATTTTAATGTGCCACAAATACGTTACGCGTTAGACGCACTGCCGATATGCGGCAGCCTAACATAGCAAACACTTTGCAATCTGCTAGCACGTTATAGTCACGGTTAATTGAATTTGCTGATGTGGAAATGCTGACGTCTATGTGTTCTAGACCTTCTGAGTGTGAATAAGGGGGTGCAGGTTGTGCTACTTCGCTAGCTCTGCGGTTCACATACGAGCGACACTGAACCTGATGCCCTTTGGGAGAGACTCGACTTCATACCTAAATTGGCAGTAAAACACGAAGCAAAGGAAATGTTTCTCAACCCCTGCAACGTCATTACAGTGTCAACGTGAGTTCAGAGCCGTTCAAATTCCAAATAAGTATTTATGTGGTGGTTTGAGTGGTGGTTGGAGAGGGGGGGAGGTTGAAGTCATCTTCAATTACTGAAGGAGTGGGATGATGATAGACAGGTGACTACAGGGGGCAGCAGTTCCACTCTGCCGGCTTCATAACTTCTGGATTTTTTTATCTGGGTCAGAGTTCCACGACTTTTCCATCAATCCATCTAGAACAGAAATGCTTTTGTTTTTGAAGGTTATTGATCGTCTGATTTGCTGATCGTGAAAGGAAATGGGAAAATGTTTTGCGGAAACCGTGAAAAACTGACTGAGACTGACAAATCTCGCTGCACGTTCTGTGAAACATCTGAAGTACGTCTAACTCCAATTCAGCTTAGTGTGAGTGTGGGCTCTGGTGGTAAACTGCACACACACAGAGCCAGGTCAGGGAATTCAATGCTGCTGTCCTGATACGGGAAGCAACAGTGCTAACTACTGCACCACCATGCCGCCCTCATTTAATGCGAGTACCTCTTTCCTGAATCGCCTAGGAAGCGCATGCCAAAGCGCCATCCTGCCTGCACTGATGCGCCCCCCGGTGGCCAATGTCCAGCCATCGCTGGGAACGAAGCAGTTCCTCCCGTTAGCCCTGGACACCACAATGCAAGTCAACCTGTTGCCAAACTTCCGGCTGGTGAGTCTCACGCTCCGGCGTGTTTGAAAGATCTTCTTAACGCTATGAGTTACATCGAGCGTGTAACAGGGAACGGTGTTCAGCTCCCGCTAAAAGTCCGGCTTTGGCTTGTTTCTGGAGAGTCTGGCTGGTCTGTATCGTGCTCTAATTGACCATCTTGCCTGTGATGCTTCACCTTCCTGCAGTTTCTCTGACTGAGCAGTTTATTATGTTTTCCGAAGCAGCAGCAGATGCTGGGATGGAAAACGATGCGTCTTGTTTAAGCGCAGCCAGGGCGCTATATCACACGCCGCAGAGGGACCCACAAGCAGTAAATGAGAAAAATCTTACATATCTCATTACAATTCATTCTCACCCGGCAAGCCAGTATTGCCTCATTTTATTATATAGATCCAGTACATTCTATGCAATATGTAATCTATATTGTGCTTCTGCTACGTAAATTGCAGTACAGAAGCTGTGAATAATAGCAATAATAAAAAGAATAATCAAAACAAAAAAACCTCAATGTTTAAATATGCGAGCTATAATACTTTTATGAATTTACCTACATAATCATTCCATCATATATAAGAAAGTGTATGTATATATTTGAAATATAAATATATGAATATATTTAATATATACACATACATACACAAACACATGTATATATGTATGTGGGGAATGACAATGTCAACATAAGAATTTTTTGGCATAATAATTCATCATTGATTCATTCATTGTCTTCCAGGTTTTAAAGATGAATTATACAGTCAGTTTTCACAGTTCTGTGATGCTCAGGGCAGCAAATATAATTCATACAGAAAGAGAACTATTATATATAATTCATGTAAAAGCATATACATGTATACTTTCCCATGCAGCTGCTATAACTGTGAGTAAATACTCTCTGGAGTGAAAAAAATATTAAATTCAAACGACATTTTTTGTGGGGATGAATTCTTCCTTCTTAGGTTTTGAAGTGTTCCTTAGATTTCTCACCACTTTATGAAAAAAAAAAAACAGCTGTCAAATTTGCCCAAAAAGTCTCCTCATGTGGTGAATTTCATCATCTTTTATAAAAAAAAAAACCCTTGCTGGATGGAAATGTTGTGGGGAGAATTTGTCACTAGTTATTCGCATGTGAACCCAAGAGAAACTGTAATCTGGTTTGGGCAGATTCCTCTTTGGGCTGTAAATAATCTCCCAACCAGCCATGAATCAGGCTGTGTAGCAGCTCTGTGGTTTTGGCTGGTGATGGGATTAATATTCCATTAAGGGGGCTTTCTTCCGTGTTATGGTGTCCCTGAAAGCCAGGCTTAATGACAGATGCACCTTCTTTTTTTGAATATGTACACAATCTCCATTAAATGAATTTGTAATCTGTCTAAAAAGTCCTTTAGGAAATACGTACAAATGAGATTAGACCTCGCTTCCAAGTGGAAGTATTGCCTTTAAAGCTAATTCTTCAGAACAACTGTCAAACGAATAAGATTCAGACCGCAAACTAGTTATTAATTATTAGCTGTATAGTGTAATTGCGGATAAGCGGGAGATAATGGATGGATGGATGGATAGTGTAATTGCCTTTATGATCTGTATATCTGTGGACACCTTTTGTTATAAAGGGAAATCATATAAACCCAGTTGATTTAATGTGGAATCAGTTCTCAGTTACTCTGCTTAGCCTGTGATTTCCTAATTCATTCTGGATTTTATGTGCTCTTGTGCTGCCCAGATTTTGCCATACACATGTCAACATCCTTCAGCGCTGGTTCGTGTCATTTCTGTGCCAACATTTTCGCTGCGTATTTATTTCAGTACTCACTGTTTTCTAGTGTAGAACATAGCTATTGCCACAGTAGCTGCCATTGGCTGTTTTTTATCTAGCAGGTTGTCTCTGACTGTATTCCTTCCCCAAATGTAAGATTTAACATCTCGGTGACAAAGTCCCATTTATTTAGCTTTCCTGTTCGTTTCACTCAGGGCTACCGGGCAAGGGGGCGAGGAGGGCAGGATTGGCTTCAAGAGGTACATTATCCTTGGGCCCAGGGGTCTGTAGCTGATGTCGATGAGAAGTATGGCAGGCCTACCTTTAAAGGCCATTTCCCCTTAGAAATATCTGTCAAGCCACAGCTGATGAATGAGAATTCAGCCTACAGTCAGGAGCACGTAGCATTAGCGCCCAGTCGTAAGCCCGTCTCTCAGCGTCAGCCTGCAAATTTAGCGTAATTTGAAGCTAAAGCAGGAGGTCCAATTACATCTGCATGTCAATTCACGGAGTTGCAGCACAAACAGTGCAGTGTGCCTTAAATCACGTTATATCAGAGCCTAGTCATCTATTGTGTATATTTTATTATAGATAAGTTTTATTCTAGGTAGCTGCTGGCTGAATTAAAACAAGACTATAATATATTATATAAACGATGGTTCTGTTACAGATGGTTCCATTCCTGTGTACTTGCGGCCTTCCTCAGCCTGCCCTTTTCGTCTTGCTCACCATCGTAATGCACTGGATTTGTTCTCACAGCAATTCCCAAGATGGCAGTCATAGATTGGCACCCTTAGAAGGATCTGAGAATTAGTCAGAGCCTCATTCTTCTGTTCTGAGTGTCAGAGTGGTCTCTCCTCTGCTTGTTTAATTTCTGTATGCAGGGTTTCCATGGCGTTTGGAATGCGGGTGTGCAACTGAGAGTTTTAAATAACAGATGGGATCCATAAATTGGGATGAAGAGTGATTTTTCTGGGGTCTAGTCAAGTTACAGTGTGGAAGCACACCCATTTATATAGCTCTCAGTCTTATTGTTAAGCCCAAAGTAATAAATGACTAAGTACCGGATGCTATTTCCAGTACAGCAGACATTTTTAAGAACCTTACAACACATTGTGATACACATACATCAAAACTTGGAAATTACATCCGATTTACTTAGGTCCTTAAGAATTTTAGGCAATTTAGTGAATCCCCAGTTAATACAGTGAGACTTGATATCTGTTACAGGTGAAGTTGGAGTGTGAGAGTAAGAGATGGGTAATGAACGAAACCCAAAAAAATACAGGAAAAGGGAGCAGTTATTGGTTATTGGGTAGGACTGCATCAGTGTGTGGGACTCACTCTGAGAGAGAGAGAGAGAGAGAGAGTGTGTGTGTGTGTGAGAGAGAGAGAGAGAGAGAGAGAGAGAGAGATTGAGATTATATTGTTTGTGATACGGCACAGGTGAAGTGAATCAATGCCCTTACTACATAACTATAACTTTGCCGATGTGTCCCCCACCTTACAGGAAATGCTGTTTAATTTGAAAGCCAATGATGAAATCAGCTTTGACAAAAACTGCTTTCTTTGGTAAAACATGGATATTCACTTTCTCTACAATGTACAGTTCTCCTCAGAAATATCTGTGGAACGCTTGCATTTGAGGTTAAGCACAAGCAGCACTAGTGGTAAAGTTTTCTGTATCAGAATGGAGGAGTTGAGAAATCCTGTTTCCCAACAGAGCTTTCTAGAAGCAACAAAGTGCAGTTATGCAGATGCACTTTCAGAAAGCCGCTGTATGCTTGTGATGAATCACGCTAACAGAATAGTGCGGCATCGTGAGTGTTGTGTTCGTACCATGGCGGCCACAGAGGCCAAGGGAAGCTGCATGGAAGCTGCATGCTTGAGGGAAACTGCTGACTGCTTCAGTGGCTTCAGATTAGATGAAACAAAGTCCTCAGAAGAAGGGGGGGGGGCAGCGCCACGTCAAAAAGAGGACTTAAAAAGGATGTCGAACGAAACAAGGTGCAGGGAAGGCAGAGAGCGAAATGATGTAGAGAGTGGAGAGAGGGGGAGAGAGTGACTGACGGAGGACAGAAGAGGGCCGAAGGTAAGGCTCCCCCCCCCCCCCCCCCCCCCCCCCCCGAATAATATTGCTTGTGAAGTTTGAATAGAACATTTGTCTTTTGGAAACAATACAAGTGCCCCCTGTTTCTCCCAGTTAGTCATCAGCGGCGTCAGCTGTTGGTTTCCCTTAGTGCTGCTCTGCGGAAAATTGTTTAAAACTGTAAGACGTGAGAATGACACGTGGGCTGGGAGGGGGGGCGGGGGGGGGGGGAATCGCGTCACTGAAGAATAACTGTCTGACTTGATTCTCAAAGCAGATGCCGGGGGAAAAAAAAGAGCAAAAAATCAGGCAATGAAATAAAAAAAATAAATAAATGAAAACATGAAAGTGTACGTGTTTCTATGTCTTTGTGATGGGTGAGGTATCCATGGAAGGAATGCATGAGCTGGTTTTGCAGTGAAACCGCAATCAGGATTAACTTACTCTGCGATCACTGTGCCGGCTCACTCACCGCCAGCGTCGCCGCTCTAACTGTGTCCCGTCGCGCTAGTGCACTGTTAACCAATCTTGCACATCCTTGTGAATTTCTGTGCATTTCTACTCCTTTCCTATTGCATTTAGTCCTGTTTTTTTTTTTTTTTGGCACATTGCAGTCGTGACGTGCATCACAATTTCGTCGATTATGAAAAGTTTTAATTAGAATCTGTTTAAATCTAGGAGATCATTCTTAAAGTGCTTAAGTGAGAACCACCCCAGGCCCTTTCAAACAAATTTGAAAATTAGTTCCAGAACCTCGAATATCAGACAAAGAGAGAATTATTTCAGCTGTGAAAATAGTCAATTCTTATGGATATTATGTCACAGACCTTGATGGCAAAAAGCCCCCTATTTGCTTATCTCTGCCAGCAAATTTCGGAGTGCTCTTCAAACTATGGAAATTCGGTGTGTCAGGAGGCACTCGTGAAATCCAGCTGTGATGTTTTATTTTCAGTGCCGTACGTGGAGTGGAGTAACTTTGGCATTGACCACGCCACGGAAAGAGGGCTTTTTCCAGGCAGTAACCTGAAACTTTTTAAAAGCACAACAAACAACGGGAATTTAGAAAGCCACAAAACCAGACACAGAACAAAGATCATCAAAACCTCATTAATATTTATATTTATTACAATAACATTTACGTTTTTACAGATCATTCAC